GTCAAAATACGACACAACTCGTAAAAATACTCAGCGATACTACACAACAAAACGTCTAATAAGATATATATAGAAGAAATAAAGCTACATTTTCATTTTATAGTTTGATCCAACCTTGACATGGGTCGAAGAAATGACAATACAAACGCAGAAATGTAGTTTAAAAGACGAATATTTACAATGGTTAAGTTAAAAGTCGGACTGACCAAGGAATCCTTCGAATGCTTGATTTTTTATATTTCTTGTGAAAGAAGAAATTTACGAGCAAAGACACAGCATCTTAAATGACTAAAAAAAGTTTGGACGCAACCTGCGTTGATTACAGGTGGAAGTGACGTCCATCTGGTATTAAGAAAAAGATGCGTTGCACTAAGGTCTGGGCCACATGGCAATTAAAATCCTTGCTTGGCCTTAGCGGTTTTCAGTTTACAAAGTCATTTGGGCTATCTAGACGCTATGACTAGAGATTGAAGATGGCCGCCTCACAAGTGCTGGCAAATTTTTCTGGAAATCCTCCATCAACAGATGAAAAGATTGCGCAATCAAGAGAACAAGTAAGTTATCACTCAGACTTGAAAAATCGTCGCTGCAGGACTCAGTCTTGATGCCTTGCACAAATACCATTTTGTACAAAGACGACACAAAATGAAACTGACAAGCAACTATAACGTTCGTTCTTCAGGTTTAACAACGTTTTTGACACTATTCCCCGCACCATAAGACCTGTAAATAATCATGGTGTAGGTGTCCGCTGACCCTCCTCTCGCGGCTCAGAGTTTTCGCTCTTAGCTTCTTTCGCCTCCCGGGTTCTTCTACTCTTCTTCTTGCTCGACACCAGTTCTCCCTCTTCCGGGCCGCCGGAAGTTTCAGACCCAGCCGTTTTACTGTGCCTTTTTCTAAGGCAAAAAGAGATTAAACTTACCAAAAAGGTTAAACACCTACAATTTCTTTTCTATAGGTGGGATGGATAGCCCATGAGTGTTTCACCTAAAATAGACCATATTTTTAAAGAACCAACACCAAGCGCAGAAAACGTGCGGGTTAAGACGAGAATGTACTAATTTAAGCAAATCAAGGTTTCGTTAACTCAGACGGTGATTTTATTTGATCGGACATGTGAATTTCAACTAAAAAGAACCATGAAGAGCATCAAATTCTGCTTGAGACGTTACTTTTACGTGGGAATGAGTTGAATCCTTTGCAGGTGTACGTTAACTTTCGTCGTAGGATCGCGAGAGATTGAGCGAGCTTAATACTTACTTTTCTCGTTGTTCTTTTGATTTTTCTCTATCTTTATCTTTTCGCGATGAACGTTCCTACAACAAAGAACGTACCATAAGGTCTACATATCGTTAGTGAAAAAAAAAATGAGATTATCTGTACTGCGTACAACCGTCCGTCCAGATCTGAAAATCTGCTGTCCAAAAGGAATTCGCAGGTAAGTCGACTCATGAAAACCTAGCCAGTTGTCAAAAGCCAATAAAACTGAGATTTTGTGCTTTCCACGAGTCTGTTTAGGTTGTCTCCGTTCCAAAATATCCGTCTATCTCCATGTTTGCTGCGCGACTTTCAACCTTTTCTAGGCTTGTCAGCCAGCAGATGGGTTGTCGTCTGCAGGGAATAAAAAACTTCTACATAATATGAAATATGACATACCAGTCTTACCTCACGTCTTTCTCTGTCTCCTTTATCACGGTCACGGTGTCTTCTATCTCGGTCACGCCTATCTCGGTCACGATCACGCTCTTTACGCGGAGAACGATCACGGTCACGATTTCTGAAAAGGTACAAGTGGTCAAGTGAAAAGCTTGTCCAGTCCGCGTACGGTTACGTTGTACACAGAAAACGATTACCGTAATTCTGGTCTAAACGCTCGTGATAAAATTCCACGGGACTATTTTTTTCCTCACTAAATATATAAACTTTTTCTAAACCTGCATCACCTTTCTCTGTGTTCACGGCTTCTGTCCTTATCTCTGTCTCGGCGTCTATGTGAATCACGATCGCGTTTCCTATCTTCATCACTACTGCCAAACTCGCTATCGTCGTCTCCAGGACTCTCGCTGCCTTGCCTGGCCATGGTACCCGGGAATCCCTCGCGGAATCCCGGAGGAAACCCGCGACCTATGCCAGCGTCCCACGGCATGCCAGGAGGATGTCCCATCATTGGATGAAAAGCTTGCGTTGGATCTGCAGGGTAACCATGGAAACGATCACAAACGAGTTATTAATCGTTTACCAAAGAATCATGCAAACCCAAAAAATGGGTCTTTTAAAACAGCGTATTTTCCTCTCTGACGGAACCGCTTCTGGTGCGAGAGTCTGTCTTTAGTTTTGTCTACGTTAAACAACGTTAAATAACCTACGGAAAAAGAGAAACTGTTCCCACAGTCTTAAACCTTCGTCTGTCCTATGATTTTTACTGAATAACGTACTGGTATCGCGAGTAAGAAGTACACGTCAATCGCTGACGGGTTGAACGGGAGGGCTAAGGTTCAGATAGCTGGTAGAGGTCTTTTAGCGATATCGATGCGGTGGGAAGAACGGGTCAAAAGTTATCAACGTAGTAGCACGATATTTGGCCTCGCTCTTTATTAATTTTAATCTGACAATATGCCAAGGAAGAGGTTATCGCAGGTCAACATCGAATACACACAACATAAAAATAAGCCAACATTTTTGGCTTGCATGAAAAATCTAAGACGGAAAAAACACTATTAAGTACTCAAATTACACCACAAGTGATACGCGCACAAGATGACGATGATGCAACAGGAATTTCTAAACAAAAAATATGGTGCTGATAGTTTTTCATGAAAAACTTCTCGAAGTTCTATGTATCCCACGAATTAGCACAGTAAAACCGTCACAAATGAGGACGAATACACGGTAGCAACATCCGAAATGGGCTCTCTTCAGATAAAGTTCGATCACACGATGGGAGAAGGCCAAGATTATTACAGAAAGAAAAGTAAGGGAAATAGGAGGGGAAGACATGTTCTGTTTTTGCGTTTCTTCAATCAGACTTAAGAAATTTAACTCACTGCTAACAGAGGCTAGGCAATGTATTTTAAGAAATGTTGACGTTGACAAACTAGTTAATTGACTTCTATGAGATGATGATAGATACCGCTTTAGACAGTTCAGATAATTCAAGGGAATACAGAAAAGCTTGTAAGGGAAATAGAAGGCAAAACTAAAGGAGATAAAAATTTGTGTCGGGCTGAGTTCTTTTAATATCAACTAAATCTATCTGAATGCTCACTGAGTTCCTCTTTTCAAGCTTTTTCCGTGGACGTGATTTTGCAAATAGAGGCTTCCCACATTTGCCGTTTAGTGCCAGCTTTTATCGAAAATGAACAGATAACTTGGATTTTCATAACCTTCTCTGACCCCGAAAAGAGTGGTTTCCATTATGTTGCTGTACCGTCAAAGGTGGTTCGGGGCGGAAGACTAAAAAAATACACGTAGCAGTAATAAAATATACATCAATCCACGATTGAAAGGAATTCTGCAAACCAGGAAAACTTAAACGACTTAAAACAAAAAGGAAGGCGCAGATTTGAAATTGCAGATACGTCAATAAAGGTGATTTATGGCTACTTTTTTCCAAGACTAAAACCTTTTGTAATTCTTAAAATCAACGGATAAGAACTAATGTATAAATAATCCATCAGTGGCTGCATAATTGTAAGTTTGTTTATTTTGTTTTAGTATATTTTAAGCTAATGTCTCTTAAACTTGGCCTTCGATAACAACGTAAGAGCTCTCTTCAGGCGACCTTAAAACGTTTGGTCTGCGAAGAGTATTGCAACAAAACACCCGATAATGGTAAAACCAATTTATTTAACACAAGAAAAACAAAAATGCAATTAACAAATCAAATGACCTGAGGGGAAAAAGTTCATATCAGATATTCTGTGGAAAAACAACCTCTAAAAGAGGAAATGCTATTATTTTTAGCTACATCTGAAAACATCTACATTCTTACATGCACCGCAACGTAAAGTTTAGAATCTAGACTGAACAAACATCCGTCGTGCGACTAATTTTTTATTTCCCACACTAAGAGAAATTTCCTGCCGCGGTCTTAGCTGTCTCCCCGTAAAAAGTACAAACTCTTCTTGTCGATAAAATTCCTAGCTGGTTATGTCTTAAGTTTCTTTTGAACAACTTTTCCGAAAGCGCAATTACCACAAAGGACACAATTTTAGCCACAACAGCTGCGGTATGTTCATTGGCACAGAACATGCGTCACAGAGCGTGCAAAAAAACCATTAAATTTGCAAATTGTGCCTTCGTAATGATGAATTTACACAAGGTAAGCAAATAAAGAAACGTCTGTAAAACCTTGACTTCTGAGCAGCAAATTCTTGCGTAATCGCAGCCGTTGGTGCTCGCGCTCAGAAATCAAGGACAACGAGAAACAACCCTAGCTCAAACAAATGTTACAACATTGTGTATCGCCTTAAATACAATGCAAATTTCATAGCCCGTTTTTAATAATGAATTTTTATCTTAAGATCTCCAAAATGGTTTTAAAGGTTGCACTGGTCTCTTGTCTTCGCGACGGTTCATGCACACTCTAAAAATCAGGGCGGTAGGTTCAGCAGTTAAATATCCAGGTAGTAAATTAGAAAAATCTGCCCGAGTTCATTCCATAGCAGTGCATTTGGAAAAGCAAAAGACATGGTAATTTGTTTCGTTCAGATAATTGAAGAAGTGAAGAAGAAAGTGGGACAGTTGTCGTTCTAAAATTTATTTTTCGGGAAGCCAATTTCATGCTTGAATTTTGTTTTACTTTTACTTTTCAGTACATTTTCACTTCACTGTTGATATCGATTGTCGAGTGTCCAGATTGCTGATGCAGTTCCTTGATGCTTAAGCTATATGTTCATTACTTGCAATTCAGCTTTTTACTTACTTCTTTTGCATTTTTCTATGACAACGTTACAGCAATCAGGTGTGTCCAAAGACAAAAACACCATATCCACAGATCTAACGACATGTTTGCCACTAGTAAATGGCGACTGTAGATCACTAAGCAAACACTGGCGTAACAAATTGAATATTTTGCCATGACGAGAGGAAGGTAAACAAAACTCGCCTTTTGTATTAAATCTTTCGGAAAAGTTGTAGACACTGCAATTAAAAGGGTCGTGGAAAAATATCATGGAGCAACACCCTGACGAAAATAAAACCTTTTCCGAATGTCTTTTGCGAATGTAGGGCGTTGGAAAGAAGCGACAACTTTTAGCGAGAGAAAAAAAAGTGTGAGCATGCGTAATTGCTGGACACATTAACGCTTTCTTTCGTGAGGCACGAGTGTGAATAAACGAAGTAAATAATAGTATACATCACTGAATAATGTATCGATTTTGACTTTCTTTCCTTACAGAAGTACGAAAATAAATATAAAGAGGAATCGAAGAAGGCGCATGGACCAGAATAGCCGTGAAGGGAAATTACGTAGAAAATGAAAAGAAACGAAAAGAAAAAAAGAAAAAAAAAACACTCTCCGAGACAACTTACGTGTTGTGGCGCAACTATGATTTCAAATCTAAAAAAAAACTTTAAACGTTATCTAGGATCGTCTGCGATGTGAATCCGATTTATCAAATTTACTGGCAAGACAATAAGGTAAAAATCCCTGACCTTAATCAATTTACATCTTTTTACGCAAGTGTAAATCAGATAATTCCAGAAGTACATCTTTCGAACACCTAAAATGTTATCTACGATCGTCTGCGATATGAATCCGGTCTTATCAAATTAACCCGCAAAACAATAAAGTACAGTAAAAAAAAAAAAAATCCTGACCTTTGTCATTTCACATTTCCCATGCACGTGTAAACTAAATTATTCGACAAGTACATTATATGAACCTTTAATGTTACCTTTGATCGTAAGTAATGCAAATCAAGTTTTATCAAATTATCCGTCAGAAAAATATAGTAAGGTAAAAAAAAAATCCTGGACTTTAATGATCTAAATTTTCTACGCAATTTTAAAAGAGATTATTCGAAAAGAACATCGTAGGATACGCGTTGTTAATGTGCTTGCCAATGTTAAGACCAACGATTCAAAATTATATGGGTTCGGAGTTGTTGACAAGAGAGAGAAAAAGCTAGAACGAAAGATATCCATTTACGAGCCGTTTATTTGTTTGAACATCACTAGAACATGTCAGAGTCGGTCTTACAATACAATACAATACAGATTTAAAATACATTCCTAGAAGACCGCTTATTCTCGAAATTGACAGGGAAAAAGGAGAATTGTTAATAATCCCGATGAAAAGACTGAACACTCTTTTGAATAGAGGCAATTAAACCACCGTCAAATAAAAGAAACTTGCTCTAAAACATAAGTCATCAACGATTTCGACGTTTTATGATTAACAAGTAACCTTTAATATCTCGCTATTGTGTCTGAGCTTTCGCTGTCTTCACTGTCTTGTCAAGTTTACCGCATTCAGCGATTCCTTTTTTGTAAATATATTACGTGCAAATTACTTTGAAGTGAGAGTGCCAGACGTATGCCAGAAATCACACAAAGTATTTGTCGTTACAATTTTGTTGACAGTACATTGTTTCGTATTTAGATATGTGCTTCCCCCGCCGTAACTTAGTAATATTCCGCCGAAACATTCGCTCTCGGCAGGGGATACAACAAAGCGCTTCAAAATCCATGATCAAAATCTAATTTAAAAATGGAATACCCCACGACATGACTTCTTCCTAAGAGTAATTATGCATTAAACAGTTATAGTAAAACATCACGAAATGGGTGTGAACTTTTCTTCGAGAAAAGAGAATTTAAAAAGATCTAAATTGTCTACTACACGAAAACGTCGGAAGCCGACGAACTGCCTTGCTCTTTACCGCGCGCGCTAGTGCGGGCGAAAAACGACCTGGCGCGGCGGAATGAGGAAACTTTTTCGGAGAGGAAAAACAGCTTGGAACGTTTTCCAGATGAAGAACAATGCTTTACGTGCCACTTGAAAGCCTTTCGGAAGTCCTCGCTGAACAAAGCATAGATGAGAGGATTAGCTGAGCTGTTGCAGACAAAAAACAGGATGCATACTTTAAAGAAAAACAGCAAATACTCAAACTGCGAAGTGTCCTGAAACATGTCTACCACTCGAAAAACATTGTACGGCAACAGCGTCATGAAGAAGACCAGGACAACTGGAGTTAAAATCTTGAGCGCTTTGCAATTGCGGTCACTTGCACGCCGACTTCCCCCATATGATGAAGAGGTAGGACGCTTGTGAGACTCTCGACGAATCCGGCTGTGTAAGGCGATGCTCTCGTTCAAACGCCTTCGTATACGGAGATATGTGAAGAGGATAATAGCCAAAGGTAGAAGATAGGTTAACAACACTGTCTCCCCTTGGTACAGCTTGTAGAAAGTGACACTCGGAAACTTGGGATGACAGAACGCACGGCCTCCAGACTCCACGTAGTTCATGACAAAAAATAACGGCACCACGAACAGCAAAAAGGACAGAAGCCACACTAACAAAATCACAACCTTGACTGTTTTCATGGTCCCCTTTTGGCTCAAACCGTGCCCGGAAATGATGCCCCGGTATCGAAAAACGGCTATGGCGGTGATGCTAGCGATGGAAACACCGTGGAAAACGTCGCTCAACGGGTAAAGCACCTTACATCCAAACTCTCCAAACGGCCAGGTGATATCCTCTGTGCGCATCACGCCAAATGGAAGGCTGAATAGGAGGATACCTAAATCGCTGATTGCCAAGTTAAGAATCAAACAGTAAGCGAGAGAACAATAAAGACGTTCTTTAACCACCACTACACACACCAGTCCGTTGCCCAGAACGCCAGCCACGAAAATCAGGGCGTCTAAAATAAACCGTACAAGCTGCAAGGAAAACGGTTCGACGTAGAAATGAAATTGCCGTCCCCCTGGGTCGCTTACGTTGCTGCTATTCATGGCTGTAACAACTTCGGGAAGACCTGTAGAGTTCGAGTCGACACCGCTTTAGTGTATGCGTAATCCTATTTCGAAAGAAATAAATACACGATAATCGTGCGCCAGTCCGAACTTCGAAGAGCCTCTTGGGCCTTTCAGTGGATCTAAGGTAATTGTTCAAATTGCCCGCGAACTGAAGTCTTGTCTGTTCAACTTTCGTACCAAACGTAGCAAAGCTGGCGCGACCAATGTTGACCGCAAGTCTGATGACGAGACACACTCACAAAATTGAATATTAATCTATTCCAGAAGACTATACATCGCTTTTGTTGACCACGAGCCACTTCGCAATGATGACAAACACAGCAATCTTGGCAAGGAAATAGTGAAACGTGGTTAAACTGTTCACGGTTGAAACAAAGATCGAATACGTATCCTTCCTGTTTTTGCTTCACTAACATAAGACGTGCAGGCCTCCTGTGGCTTAATTTAACGCTAGCTCCCACCCCACTGTGCCACAATTTTTCCCGGTCTCTATAGCGTCTCAATTAACTGGTGTAGTGTGTACTTCACGTACTTCGGAAGACTGACGAGCGAAGACTGATTAACTTCTGACGGATGGTCCTACGAAAGTCACGGTGACGTAGTGTAAAGTTACGAACAGGGCCCAAAATAAAATTTGAAATAAATAGAGCCGATACCTGACACGGAATATCAGTAACAGCGCCGCGTGGTTTGTTGTTTAAAGCAATGACAGAGGTTAGCATTTTGTTCCCTCGCTAGAGTAATAACTGGTTGTGTCATTTGAATGACAATGTTGCTCTAATGGATAGGAAAGAAGCTGATCGACGATAAACGAATTGGAAGTAATATTTAAATTTCTGACACTAAGGTATTGCCGGCAGGCATAATGGGAAGGATCTAATTAGCTGTGACTTAGTGACTCAGTCGCTATGAACGCGAAAATCCAAGGCATTCATCATCACATTTCCGCCATATTTGAGGTTGAGCATCGCGTTACAAATTACCAGTGCACGCTTTGACAATAAGAGCACCTTTCCGTAGGCTTAACTTTTACATTTATATCAAAATTACTCAGCCATATTAGCGTCAAACCGAAAACAACACAGCAAAACAAAGCCAGAAAATACTGGATTACCTTAGAATAGAAAAGAACAAAAGACCCCTGTGAAAAGTGGAGGATTATTAGCAATGAAGTCTCCTAGGCGGTTGAGAATGCAATAAGGAAGATAGAAATTATCTTCTGCAGATTAGCTGTGCTCTAAATAACACGGCGGTGTCAAGAAAATAGGCAAAATCGAAGCCCCCCGGTTAAGTAAACTTTCAGATTCTGGATAAATAACTTGCCTCAGGTCACACCAGTAATTTGAGCTATGCACACTTACAAAAATAACTTCTAACAGGAACCACTTTTCCGTGGAAAGGACGCTAACAGGAAAACAAGGACCTTGCTTATAAAAGCTTAAGTCAATATACTTGATTTGAATTAAAAAATTCCTTTGCGAAAAATAAAAAACGCTTACAATAAAATCTTTGCAGAAACGAAGCAAAGGAGGCGAATTGGTATAATATATTGCCCATGCCCTAGTCAGAGTCATTTATTTTACAAATGTCTAAAATCTCCCCATGAGCCAACAATAAATGTTTATAAGAATTCTTTATGCCACTACCACATCAAACTACCGCTGCTGTCTTTCCTCACTGAACGCGTGAAAAAGGCAAAGAGTCGAACCTCTTCAAGTTTGAAAAGCCTGCGTGTTATCGTGTTGGAGAACAGAGCCAAACTTGCCGACATTCGAGTGGCAGGTGAAATCTTTAGTCCACTAATCAAATGAAATTCTCAAGTGCACTCTACGATAATCTTTGAGTTACGATCTGTCAGGGAAGGTGGTCACATATTTCCCACAGATAATCTCCGCAACTGACAAGATCAATTTATTATTTTTACTGTGGCACCGACGAGGGGCAAAACGTTTTCTGCAATGATAACAACATTACATTTAATTTGCATCCGGTTTCTTACAAAAAAGGATCTCATAAAAGAGGCTATTCTCAAAAAGGCCCTAAACATGTCAGCTAAGAGAAAATGACAGAAAAGCCAATAAAACGATGTCATATGTGACCTCACATTCCTTGGGCACTCAAGTGATTCATTTGGGGGAATTTTTTATGTAAAATGCAAATCATTTCTAGGTCGACAGATTGTGCCGGATTAGCGAACAGATTTTGGGATTAAGGACATTGTCATTTAGAAGATGCACAGTGTTTGCTTAACGAATGAAACAGTATTACATGCGTCTCCAAGACGCTGTCGCTGAGGTGCTCTGTCAAAAGTCCTCAGCGACGTTGTAAGCGAACCAAAACAACACGATGTACAGTACAAAAATTCAATTACATCGAGGAAACTACAAGTCAAAAGGATTTTGTTCATTTTGCATTCTTTCCTCTATGCAATAAGAGGGTTTCCCGGACAAATTGCAAATTGTTTTGGCAATAACAAAACGGGGAAGGAAATTAAAAAGGTGGAAATATTTTCAACAGTTTTTGAAATAGAGTATAGTTTTTTGAAAATATGAAAAGAACATTGATTAAATAGCATTTCAAACGAAATTAAGGTTCCGGAAATCATTGCGGACTAAACAACCAAAGATTAAACGCGGCTACTTTTTTCTTGTCTTTTTGGATAGAAAAATTTTAGGCTATTACAAAAATTGACAAAAAATCAAACAGGTATTAAACTTTTACCCTATTTGTGTTTCCACACTAGAAAATAGAAAGAAAAGGGTGAAATCAAAGGAACTTTTCAGGAACACGTTAAATAAAAATCAATTTATCCAGTTGGCGCGAAAATGGGTGAAAACGGTAGGAAGCGGTCGATTTCCCGCCAAAATGAAATCTAGATTAGACAAAAAGTAAATCATCCTGAAAACTGTCGTTATGAAGAAAGGCATTTATTCGACATCGCAATTTATCTATTCCTTTGTCTCCTTCCCATGTAATAGCCAAGAAAAAAAAAAAGAAAGGAAAATACTAAAAGGACAATACAAAGTGCAGAGCTATTTGTATACATTAGTTTATCAAGAAAATCAACGTTAATTGGATTAATAGAAAATAGGTTTTAATGGTTCACGGGACAAAACTAGAGAAAGAAAATGCAGCTTCTCTATTTGATATTTTTGCAAAAGTGCACCTTCTGTAAAATACGAAGAACAAAAGCTTTCTATAAAGTTATGTCGCCGGCCAAGGTTAGCAAAACAGCACAGTTGTAAGGGAGATTTTTTTTTTTTTTCACATTTGTTTTTCGTCACATTTCTTTCGCGTATCCGATAAACGTTATCGCAAAGCAAAGTTTTCGAAAAGGAAGAGAGATGTTTAAAATAAAAATAAAACCAAAGAACGACGAGTCAACCTTTTTTAATAGTACTGTTAAAAAAAAAAAAAATTGTAAGCTACTAACAACGTTTTGCGACAGTTTCCCGCTATTATCAGAGAATATAGAGTGCAGAGATTTAATTCATATCGTACAAAACAGAGTTTTCGAAGATTAAACAGAAAAAAACAGTGAAGAGGCAAATCCTTCCAAAGATCCAGTGCATCGATTTAAAGCTTTTAAGAAACTGAGTTTTATCTTTAATAGCATTTCTCCCATCAAGCTGGTACATTTTTCCTTGAAAATTAGTTTAGAGTAATAGGTGTTTCAAGAAAACTTCCGGCCTGCCCTTGCTGCATGCTTGCTAAAAAAATCTTGCATGTTAAAAACTTCTTTTGATAAATTGTTGAGCCACTCAATTCCAAACTGAATTTACTCAAATTATGGATAGGGAAGTTAAGGCTTTTTCACATTCTTTTGAGGTAAGACTTTGTAGTTAAAGTTTTGTCTTGTGTTTTCGACGAAAAACTTATATTAGTATACAACAAGACGTGAATTAATACTTTATCGAGTGGAAGACATTTCTTCAAGGGAAAAAACCCTTAATGTTTAACTGAACATCTTTGGGACAAAAACATCACGATCATTTAGTGATTTCAGTAGTGTTGTATCACTGTGTTTTACATATATCAGTTCTTATCGATTTCTCATTTACTAAAAATACCGTTTCTTGCGAAATCTACGTTGATGGTATTAAATGGGAACCATACACTAACAGCAAATTTCCTTCAACAGAAAAGTTTCCGTTCTTCCCAGACAAGTTCCTGCTCCAATGTTTACACGAATGTATACCGACAATTTGAACGAGATAAGAGGAAAACTTCACGAAACCAATGAATTTAGTATAAAAGAATAACATGGGATTGTACAAAACAGAGAAAGGGTCACATAATATTTTAATTTCTTGGGGGACGAACGGCTTTCAACTTAGATTGCGACTGAGCAAGAGAATTTCATTACGTGCACTGACTCAGTTGAAGACGAGCCGTCCTTGACGCCCTTGGCGCCAAAGCCTTTCTTGTCGTAGGGCAGGTAATTTAATTAAGCACTCTAATACATCGTCATTAGAATAAATGAAACAGATAAAAAATTAAACTGCGTCGTAGGATTAAAGTAAAGCAAAACAGGTGAAAAATAAACGTCATTTTAACTCTGCTGTTTAAAGCTTTTTAAGCGAATTGTTCAGCTACTGCGCAATAGGCGAGGACGTGAAAAGAGCACACAATTCTATCTAATTTTAAATGTAAAGAATCGTTTGAAAAACATACACAGGACATTCGATCGAAATCGAAGACCCGGAAATTATCGCCTTATAAACATTCTTTAATTGAACAGGTTGCTTTCCAGAAGGATAATGGTGCAGGAGGAAATGATCGAGCATTTTGAGAAGACGTAATTAAGATCAGTAAAAGAGATAAATCGTTCAACTCACTCGCAAGATAAAACAAATTGATTGAAGTGCAGGGAGACAGATCTTTGTAGATGCAAACGCCCACCCAAATTGTTCAGTTAATCAATACCGCCTCCACAGTAAACCAGCTAACGGCACATTTTGAGCTTAAAATGGTTATAAATTGTTTTAAAATCGAGAGTAGCTAAAACGTATGTAAAATAGGATATAAATGAATAAAGGCTGATAGTTTCGAAAGAAACTGTTTGGGGCTGCGTCGGTGGGAGTAACGAAATAATTTGGATATATCAACAAAGTTGAAATGGTAAATTGGCCACCGTAATGATTACTAAAGCTGACGTTTCGAGCGTTTTACACCCTCGAAACGTCAGCTTTTGTAATCATTACGGTGGCCAATTTACCATTGCAACTTTATTGATATATCTAAAATAGGATATGAAACGTTTAAACCACAGATAAGAAAGCGATTTATTTAATACTAGAAATAATCAACTTCAAGGCAAACTTTGCAGCTAAAACTTTATTAAGACACGACTTCTTCGCAGCATTTTAACGAGCTAGTTTTCCGCGGGGTGTGCTTGAGAAAAGAAGAAAAAATTGTTCCCCATCTCCACCAACAGATAGAAAATCAACAGCACTTAATAAGGAAAACTAGCTGGAATAAAACTTCCCGCAGTTTACAGTTTCCCCCGTCAAGTCATTTACACTCAAAAGAATTGTCTTAGGCAAGTTTTAATAACAATAACATGGTCCCCATTAAATCGCTGGCTGCATAAACGTTTCACAAGCAACTGTTTCCTATACAAATCCTGAGACTCCTTTACCTTATAGATTATGACGAATTAAAATAATTGCCTCACCTCCTGGGAAGAACGCCGCGCCTTCTTCAAACGGTCTTGGTCCCCTGCACAAAAAGATCACATATAACAGAATTTTTATAAATTGAATTTGACATCATGCGCTGGTTAGTCGTGTAGAAACACTACCCCTCAGTTGCTTTATAAAAATGTATAAAAACCTTCAAGAAAAAATGGTATAGTTTCATGAAAGAGCAAAGTCAGCTATCGAATTAGCACTCCTTCAAAGGAACAACTTGGAAATAAGGAGTTGGGCTGTCAAGGAGTTATCTAGCTCGAGCACCTCGTGGAAACGGAGGCTCCAGGAGTCTGATCAAGAACTGTTATTCATTCTCTACGACTCTGAAAGGCTCTACATCTGAATGACCGAGTCTCTGTGCCTCTCTCATTCAGCCCTAAGTACATGCTCTTAAATATCCTATCCGTAGGCATATTTGGGCTCACGAGACAACTGACCTTGGCAGAGACAACATATTTTAAGAGCGCTACCCAAATGCTTTCACAAGCCATTCGAAATGAACAACAAAGTACTTGAAAAACACCCAGTCTTCGAGAACTTCCCGTTGAGGACTCTAAGCAAGGTCCAGGACAAACCCAAACACGACTAACGATGACGATCATCGCACAAAGGTCAAGGACACATCACTCAAAAGGTAAGAATAAATGTGTGGTCTTGCAGCACATACCAACCCAAAGCTCAAAAGAATCGCACAAAGATTTCAAGATAATTTAACAGGCCTAAACAATTCCTTAACATTAAGCCAGAACATTCTTAAATTTATTAGTTTATCGAACACTTCTAAGTTTAGTCGTTCATAACAAAGGCACCGACCTTTCGTCTATTCCTTGCGGAAATTCCCCGGGTGGAGGCATTCCCGGTGGTACCCCTGGGGGTCCTCCTACCGGTATTCTTCCACGACCTCTACCACGCATGCTCATTGCACCTGGACGACCTGGAAACCCTTCAAGACAATGACAAATTAAATTTAAAACGGCACCATGTTGGTAGCTGTTGAGTTATTGCCAGTACAGTTACCACTCGCGAAGCAGTACCTTCCTAATGAAAATTTACCAAATAAACAACTGGAACTTCTTAAAGGTAAATACTATGATATAAAAGCAGGAAGAAATGGAGCTGGTTTCAAAGACAAGGAAGATTTGATTTGCATAAGTATCCGGTGTTAAAGGCGAGAAAACTCGCAAATGTTTGGCGGCGCAGGAAAAACACTTATCTGAAAAACACGTAAACGTGAAGGAAAAAGTCCGGGGAAAGCGCGGGCAAAAAACGGTTTGTCCGAAGGAAAGGGGACACGTACGTATAAAAACCGGAAAAACGCGGGAAAAGTTGTAAGCGTCATCAAGAACTAGCAAACATGTAGTTAGTGTAAAGTAAAAATAAATTTGCGACCATTGCCACTTCATTTTAAGAGGTACACACTCGTGTTGACAAATTTCCCGTGATTTTCTTAACATTTTATTACATCAATGTGTTAGTTATTCTTAGTCCAGTACATCCACATTTAGTTTTCAGCCTTCGTTATTCGTTTAACTAACTTGCTCCGTCAGTAAACACCTCCAGTTAACCGTTAGGTTTGATTTAACATGACGCCTTCCCAGAATCCGTTTGAGCTTTCTCGCAAACGTTCCACGGCTAAAGAAGGAACCGAGAGTGAATTTGGTAAAAGGCTTTCCCAAACAAGCGTTTACAAACGTTTCGAACAGTTCAAATTCATTTCCACGTTCAGTTTTAAAATTAATTGGTAAGAGATAGCATTTTTCCAAAGATGAAAACAAACCTGGGTCAAATGGCGGCGGCATCCCGTCTGGAGGTAATCCCATCTCAGGCGGAAATCCGTGGGGCGGCGGACCTGCCATGCCGGGCATAGGGGGCATACCCGGGGGCGGCATACCCGGAGGTGCCCCCTCGGGGTGGTGTCGTCCATCTGGACCCATGGGTCTGAAGGGAGGGGGCATTCCGGGTGGAATGGGACCTCCGGGTGGCATATGCATAGGTATACCATGTGGTGCTCCAGATGTTGGAGGACCCATGGAGGGGTCCGGGTGAGGGGGGATAAATGGCGGGGCTCCTGACACCGGAGGCATACCATGGGGACCTCCTGGCGGACCTGTAATTGCCAATGAATCATTAAAGATCATTGAGGAAAAAAAACGCAGACAGGGAAGCACTCTCGAAGCACAGCGGGTTCCTCGTGAACACGGGTAACGGAACTTCGGATATTTATTTTTGCCATATTGGTGTTAGGATACAAAGCAAAACGAATCACATCTAATCAAATCAAAATAACCAACCTGGAGGGAAGTGTCTTTTGTTCATCATCCCCTGTCGAGCCGCCACATCCGGGTTCATACCCTCTTCCATCATCGGCATCATGACGTCATCTTCGCGTCTCCGGCGACTTTCCACTGAAATGAAACCAACACTGAATCAAGAGGAAAACCATGAAAAACAAACAACAAGCAAACAAAAAACCCTGACGAAAAAAAAACTGTATTATGGGTAAATTTCAAAGGAAGTTATATTTCATATCTAAAAGGAGTCTAAGTTTCACGACGAGGAGAACTTGCATTTCTGTCTATCAAGTGCTATAGTCGCCGTAAATCGTGATCTTAGGAACATCAGTAGATGGTGTGCAGACAATTCTTTACTCATAAATCCCGAGAAGACAAAATTGGTGGTTGTTGGCTCAGCACAACTTCTTAAGAGGCTACCTCATATTTCCTTGACTCTGCTTGGCAAGACTATCTCACCAGTTTCGTTTGCTAAGGATCTCGGGGTATATGTTGATCAATATCTTAACTATGATGTGCATATTACTAAAACAGCCTCTAGTTGCATGAACCAGTTAGAACAGATAAGAAGAATTAAGCACCTTTTAGATAAGAAAACACTTTTATTACTTGAGCGCTGCACTAGTATCGCAGAGGTCAGTGGTTCGAATCCCGTACAGGCCTGATTTTTTTCAGGTCTGATTTTCGCTATTGCATAAATAGCGCTATCTACTGCGAGGATCGTGCATCATATGTATCTAATACCGCAGTTCAAAATATATGAACTTCATATATTCATTGCATCTGATTTATCACTTTCACGGGTTTATTACGAATCAACTTAACGGCCTGCTCCCAGTTGGCTTGTTAGCTCAATTGGTAGAGCGCTGCACTAGTATCGCAGAGGTCAGTGGTTCGAATCCCGTACAGGCCTGATTTTTTTCAGGTCTGATTTTCGCTATTGCATAAATAGCGCTATCTACTGCGAGGATCGTGCATCATACGTATCTAATACCGCAGTTCAAAATATATGAACTTCATATATTCATTGCATCTGATTTATCACTTTCACGGGTTTATTACGAATCAACTTAACGGCCTGCTCCCAGTTGGCTTGTTAGCTCAATTGGTAGAGCGCTGCACTAGTATCGCAGAGGTCAGTGGTTCGAATCCCGTACAGGCCTGATTTTTTTCAGGTCTGATTTTCGCTATTGCATAAATAGCGCTATCTACTGCGAGGATCGTGCATCATACGTATCTAATACCGCAGTTCAAAATATATGAACTTCATATATTCATTGCATCTGATTTATCACTTTCACGGGTTTATTACGAATCAACTTAACGGCCTGCTCCCAGTTGGCTTGTTAGCTCAATTGGTAGAGCGCTGCACTAGTATCGCAGAGGTCAGTGGTTCGAATCCCGTACAGGCCTGATTTTTTTCAGGTCTGATTTTCGCTATTGCATAAATAGCGCTATCTACTGCGAGGATCGTGCATCATACGTATCTAATACCGCAGTTCAAAATATATGAACTTCATATATTCATTGCATCTGATTTATCACTTTCACGGGTTTATTACGAATCAACTTAACGGCCTGCTCCCAGTTGGCTTGTTAGCTCAATTGGTAGAGCGCTGCACTAGTATCGCAGAGGTCAGTGGTTCGAATCCCGTACAGGCCTGATTTTTTTCAGGTCTGATTTTCGCTATTGCATAAATAGCGCTATCTACTGCGAGGATCGTGCATCATACGTATCTAATACCGCAGTTCAAAATATATGAACTTCATATATTCATTGCATCTGATTTATCACTTTCACGGGTTTATTACGAATCAACTTAACGGCCTGCTCCCAGTTGGCTTGTTAGCTCAATTGGTAGAGCGCTGCACTAATATCACAGAGGTCAGTGGTTCGAGTCCCGTACAGGCATGATTTTTTTCAGGTCTGGTTTTCGCTATTGCATAAATAGCGCTATCTACTGCGAGGATCGCACATCATACGTATCTAATACCGCAGTTCAAAATATATGAACTTCATAAATTCATTGCATCTCATTACGTAAGGTTTGTTGGTTTGTTTTGTTGCAGCCACATAAAAGCTGCCAATCCAATTTGGAGTCACCCATTTTCGACAGCGTTGAGCAGAGGTTCTACCGGAATACATTAGCGATAATGTTGAAAACGTCTGCGCCTAGTAATGATAGAGCCAGTCGAAATTTTCAAATGAACCACTGATTCAATGAATATCTGAAGTTCATATATTTTGAACTGCGGTATTAGATACGTATGATGCACGATACTCGCAGTAGAGAGCGCTATTTATGCAATAAATAGCGATACTACAGTCCTCACAGAGCAGATCAACAAGCAGTAGAGAGCGCTATTTATTGCATAAATAGCGCTCTCTACTGCGAGTATCGTGCATCATACGTATCTAATACCGCAGTTCAAAATATATGAACTTCAGATATTCATTGAATCAGTGGTTCATTTGAAAATTTCGACTGGCAGTTAGGCGGTAATAGTTCACAACATCCAAAGCTTCATCTGTTCCTTGGAAGGGAAAACTCTTTCGACGTTTTAGTTCTTCTAGTCCTCTGCGCGGGGGTAGTAAATCGTATACAGGTTTTACCAGAACTTTTCCGCTGCAAAGGTCCCAGATAGATCCCATTTTCTGTCTATCAAATGCAGCTTCGTCATTGTGAAACCTCGCCTCTAATAGCTTCAAGAATAACCTTCGTTGGGGCACCCAGCGGTTTCATTACGGGGCCGGCTTTGCGAGCGCGCCTGATGAAGCGACCCGTGGGCCTCATTTGATCACTGTTTTGTTGCCAGAAAGTGAATTTCTTTCAAGAAATCATTTGTTAGACAATAAACCCTAAACTGACCAAGCCTGTCTAGTCAAGACGGCTGGATTTTGTAACCACTACTTAGTCTCGGTCCATAAAAACGACAAATAAAGACTTCACCAACGTCTATACATCTCTTTTTATTTGTTGGCTGTGCAAATTGTTTACCAGTTACATAACCTTACCTCTGGAGCCCTCTCCGCCAATGACATCAATGCTTCCTTCCAGTTTTCTTTCAGGGGGTGGGCCTGCTTTTCTGGGTCTCCCTGCAGCCAAAATAAACAAAAAAGGTCATGTGATCAGAACCGTTCAAGTGGGCTCCTGGTTCAGAAACGAAGTACTTCCAAACTGATACGATTTCGAAAGTATACATTTCCATCGGCGCTTTGAGGATATTTAGTTCAGATGATACGCAAAAACACATTAAAAAGTTTGCGTTTTTCAAATAAAAACGAATTAGCATCTATGGGACCTCTGCACCACATAGAAAGAGAAAAAAACAGTATACACAGTTGGAAAATTGGGAGCTATCTGAGCACGGTACTAACCATCAGGCAGCATGGCTGGATCCACTGTGGCTGGCGGGTGCATCTGAGAAAGAAATTTTAATAAAGTTTAGAGAAGAGAAAAAATACCAAAAATGTCTAAGTGTGAAAGGTTGTAAACATAAAGAAAAAAGTTGCAGAAAAAGTAGAAATTTTAGCTGAATTATATGCCATCGCCCTGTTTTGACTCAAACTAGTAAGTGTTATCTATGTATCTATGTTGTCTATGCAATCCCATTCATCATAGCATGCGTGGTTGTCGAACAAAGGGGCAAAAGTAAGTTTATGTGGGCGCCAAGCTCAATCCGACCAGATCTGATAAACGCACCTTGCACTCGCATGAACTTTCCTTTCTCCCTTTCGATACTTTTTTAAGTTTCTAAACGCTTTCGGCGAACAAACGAAGAGAAAGCGTAAAACACAACCCCAACCAGATCCCAACGATCGCCCTTTGTACTTGCATAACCCCCATCTCCACCTCTTTACCCTTTGAATGCCAGCAACACAAGCTACTCCAATTATAGTTAAAGTTTGTCCACGATTCTAGAACAGTTTAGGTGGCTAAGGATACTTGAAGATGCGAAGGGGAAAACTAAATGAAGACCTTTAGGGAGGAACAAATGGTCATCGGGCTCAACGCTTTTACAAAAAGCTGTCCATTCTGCTGCCTTCAGATCGTGTTACAAATAGCTTTCTTCGACCAATCAGCTGAACTACTACAACAGCTATCATTAACATCAAATCCCAACTCACAAATATTTTCTTTGGCATTTGTAACTCCATTCTCATTCGCCTCTGTTTTTCACAGTATTGTTTCCACGTGTCTTCCGTGAAGCCATAGTTGAAGTAGTCAGTGATGTCAGCACCTGTAAACAAGAGATAATTAATTCAACATACAAAGTATATGGTTAGCCGATTTTCCCAAGTGGGGCAACCATGACCATTCTTCTAGAGCAATCTTCAATTGGGTGTCAAAAATAATTCAGGATTGTTTTGGTTTCACTTATGATTATGATTGGTCCAAAAACATTTCCGGCATTCTCTCCACCAATCACATGCAAAGCGAAAATCAATTGCAACTTGGTCATCTGCGTTTGGAGCAGTTTGCTTGCTCTCGTTTGGAGTTCTCACTGGCTAATGATTATGTATCCCTCAATTCTGATTGGACATTGAGATTACTTTGGTTTCTGTCTTTTTTGATACTCAACTGAAAAATGCAGAATGCGACAATTTACCCATTGTTTGGTTGCAGCCTTTTCTCCTCCACCAACTGAGTTACATGACGAGACCAAACAAGGGCTGCAAAGATAGCTACATGTAACTCAAAACTTTCATGGTTTCCCTAGCATCAATGGCTGTCGCAATTCTTACCAGGCTTTCTCCAAGGTTTGTCATCAACTGAGTCCAAATCAAATTCATGCACAGAAACTCCATTGACTGTTCCAACGGCATCCACATCAATGTGTTTATTGTCTTTTGTGTCCTTTACTGCGGCAGATCCACCTCCTGTCTTGAAATTCCAGTTTACAGGTGCCGCATATGGAGCTCTGAGGAGAAATCAATCAAACATCAGCACATGGTACATGTGGGAGACACTTCGACTTGTAAAAAAACCGCTACTGAACTCTACCTGATCTCTCAGTAACAGCGCACGTTGGGATTGGTAAATTTAGCAGGGCCTACTCTGCACCAACACATAGCTAGTCAGGTTATGTATTTCAAATCATATTAATTAAATACATGTTGAACTGCAGAAGCGTTTCAACTCTTTAACCTCTAAGAGTGACCAGCATCTAATTTCTCCTTACAACATCACCCCTGAATCACACAATGAGGTCACGAGAATGAAGGAGATGATCACCAACTAAAGAAGCTTTTGATTGTTAAACAAATTCTCCTTGTCAGCACCATAGGAAATGTATAGAGAGCAGTAGGGAGAATATGCCTACTGATCCTAGGGTGGTAAAGGGGTTACACTGGTTCTCATAATGATCTATTAGAGGTCTGAAAACACATTGAGGACATCCCTTTTAACAACACCGCCTCCCAGTTAGCTCAATGGATAGAGCGCTGGACTGGTGTGTGGGAGGTCGAGGGTTCAAGCCCCGGCTGGACCAACACTCAAGGTCTTAAAATAATTGAGAAGAATATGCTTCCTTTCTATAACGTCAAGAAATGGTTTAGATATTCTAGTCTTCTCGGATTGGGATAAATAAATGGGCGTCCCGTCTCCTGCAGGGTTGGGGGTAAGAGACATTAATTTCCCACGTATGAGATTACAGTGTGATGGATGTCCTTCCCCGGGGTGGGATGGGTGGGTTGGGTTTAGGTGGATGAACCTACAGTAGTAAATTGCTGGGGTGTAGTAGGACATGTAGTAGGGGACTACATGACCTATTGTTCTTCCACCTGTACAATGTACAAATCTTTAGAAACAAACAACTTGCCATTTTTTTATCATATAAATCAAATCGATTCCATTCCATTGATCTGTAGAGTGACAGACTACAGAAGATGTCAAAAAGGAGTGAGAACACCGGTGATATGCTAGGCTACTCCTTGTGTGCCACTTTTTTTGTTGTTGTCACATTTTGATATCACCTATGATGTACAACTCAACCAGCCACACAGCAAGATGGAATCAAAGTAAGAATTTGAGATATTAACCAACATTCTGTACCAAAAAAATGCAACTCTATGTTTTTACCCATATGGTGCTGCTGACGTATTTATTTCCCCAATAGTGACTTGAACGTCGTCATCATCATCGTCATCATCATCGTCATCGTCCTCTTCATCTTCATTACTCTATAAAATCCACCACACAGCTCTAAGTTACTCACTTCTCATGAACAACTCAGGTAATATCACAGACAAATAAAGGGGGTAAGTCTCTAAAGAAACTGTGACGCTGTGTCAGTGGTGAAGTGCAACAAGATAATTTGGTTTTATTAACTGTGTTGACAATGTAAATTGGCCACTGTAAGGAGGTTGAAAGCTGACATTTTGAGCATTAGCCCTTCCTCAGAGTGAATCACTATTACAGACTTCTGTCACTGTTGACCCCAACACAAACATAATCATTCTAATAACAAGAAAGAAGCAATGGATGTTATCGTTGGAATTCTATGTCACCCCTGCTTCTTCTGGTCCCAAGCACCCAATATACACTTGAGTGAATGCAAATAATTGTCCATGTCCTCAATTAATTGTTTTATTTTGTTGAACCCTTGAACTCTCAGGAATGACTAAGACAGAATTAGTGTCACAGTCTTCAGGAATCTAGATAACATGATTTGTATTTTAGGACTGTGCCCTGCAGATTGGGAGAGTTCTACCCATTAGCCTAGAATTTTTTCCCTAATCTTCACCCCAGCAAGTGTAGTGGGGTTTTTTCATCCTATGGATGTTCATGGGTCCTCTCCCAGGTTCTGTTTTTAGTAGCCTATTTTTGTTATAATTATATACACCTTTTACAGTTGCTGTATCAGTTTTATTCAATAAACATGCCGTGCAGCCTCCAGTGAGCATGCGTTAGCAACTATGTTGTGTTTTTTCTGTTGTTGTCATGCACGGCTATGATGTTGTCAGGGAATTTAGACAACAGTAGGCTATTCTGTCCTTAACATGCCCAAGATCTGTTGAATTTTCCTGTATCAGGAGAAGTTTTGGACTTACCAGCTCTCCAGCCTCCTTGGCATCATCTTCGTCTTTGACTTGTCCATTCTCAGTAATTTCCTCTTCTTCTTTTGGTTCTTGTTTTATTTCAGTGCTGCGCAGAGTGTACAAAGTGAAAAGTTTGCAATAAAAGTTTCAATGAGAGATTTTTTGAGTAACAGTTACCACTTGCATTATCTGCCAAGTGCTAACCTTCAGGGAGGTTGTAAGGAGGTAAGAAGGGTGTTCCCTGAGGCATCCAAAAGCGGAGATCTCTCCAGCTTCATTTCAATGGCCTGAGCTTTTAATTTTCAGACATATTCTCTTGCTGTCTCTTGCTGTCACCTTTCTTAAAGAAAACCCGACCTAAGCAAAAGATGAATGTTTATGCGCAACATGCATCTGCAAGCTATTGGAATCAAAAGTTTCTTAACCCTTTTACTCCCACAAGTGATAAACATGCAGATTCTCTTGATAATAACTATACATTATCCAGAAAACAGGCAATGAGAATATTCAAACTAATCTGGCAGATGTTATCTTGATTTAACACCAAATTCTGGTGACTACAGCTGTACTTTACAAGGGAATGTACAGCAGCTAGAGCGGAGAATAAATGATCAGATCTAAAGAGTTAAAGTGTTAAATTTACCACTAAAAAAGCTACTGTCTCCTCAAGAATAATTTTATACTGTTATATCTGTATTTCTTTGGTATAACTAGTGCTCAACTCGTTCAAAAATACAGACTTCTTACCTTAATGTTTCTTCCTTTTCCTGTGCATCACCACCTTAGAGCGACAAAAAAATAGATATCCTATCACATATCTAGACTGAAAGACATGGAGTACTTCTTCTTATAAAGTTCAAGGTAGTGACTTTTTAAAGGTTACTTTGCCAATCCAATTTATGTTTCAAGTGACAATAAACTATTAAGACATACATTTTCTTAATCAAGAATCATAATTTCAAATGAGTCAGCTTCAGCTTGAATGAGTGGATAAAACAAGCTGTAATATGGTTCACCAAAATATCTTCTAAGCAGAACTGGTGAATTAATTGATTTCACTTTTTCCCTCAATTCAAGTAACAATGATGCACTGCACACACAGAATGCTGACAAATGCAATGCAGAGCTCTGAGAGGAATTTCAGGAGCCTGAGTGGAAAGAATTCCAAATTGTACAATGCATTTTGACTATGATAAAAATTCACTTAAATTGTATTTTCAGGCATATGTCTATCCTGCAGTCAGAGACTTTGTGGACTGAAGATAGAGCACCCTCTGAGCCTCCAGACTCATTTGCCTTTATTTGAAGAATTAATCTCTACCTTTGATGCTTTTTTCCAGGATCCCAAATCTATTCAACAGATTATTAGACTTTTTCAACAACTCCAGAATCTGTACAAACCATTCAACCCCTCAGAGCATCTAATTTTTCCTTGCAACATCAACCATGAATTAAGTGTTAAGTTCATGAGAATTAAGTGGTAAATGATCACCAATTAAGCAAGCTCTTGATTCATGAACAAATTATATTTTTCGGCACCTCAGGACAAGTACAGAGAACAGCTGATGCATGTTCATCAACTGTTGTCACTGTCATCACTGACTTGATTAGCCCTTGGTCCTTGGTTGGTTTAACGTGCAAGGCTGTGCTCTAAGAAAAATTGGAGGGAGCCCAGTGCTCTCAAACTGTGAAATCCAGGTTGCCGAGCATATGTTTATATGAAAAAAACTAAGATTCCTGAGTCGCCCAAGGGCAAAAGTAAGACGCCAGGGGCCACTGCTAGACCACAGCCCCGACATGGGTTACCTTACTTATGATCTAGATCCTCCCCAAAAACTAAATAATTACCCTGGAAAAATTGATTTTCTCGTCCAACATTCATCTTATTTCTGGACAACCATGAAAAGCTAGTGACTGACCAAGTTTTAATTTTTGAAATTAATATTAAAGGTTGCATACAGCGTTTACTGCGATATAATTGACCGCTACATTTTTCGGAATCAAAATTAACATTCTACAGGGCAAAGTAGCGAAAATCCAACGATGCGAGGATTTTTCTTCGGAGAAAAATTCCCCACAAAAAGTTTCCAACGAGCACCTGACAAATTATTAGTTCTACAAATGTATGAGCTCAAAAAGTCATCTTTAAAGTATTCCTTTGTTCGTTTATGAAACAATTCAATGATTACGGAAAGAAGATATATCATGACGGGATTCGTCGCTGCAGATATGGCTTACAAGGGCATATTCTCGAGTCTTTCCTTACCTCCATATAAAAACTTCTCATCGTCTTCGGCGTCCGCCATCTTGATGGAGCATGTGGGATGCACACAGTGTGCGCATACAATTTCCGTGATCACCGCTGGTCGCCTTTCAGCCGGTGTATTTTTGTCAAGATGGCTGTGGAAGGGAGTTCTTTGTTTTGTGATGATGATAAATCATGCGAGAAACATCCCAACGAATCTGACGAGGACGATGAAAAGTATATTTCGGCACCAATAGGTATGACTGCGATAGTTTTGTCTACAGATGTTGTTTTTCTGGTTGATTTTCGCCGAGCAATTTGCGTTGATGTTGTCCCACCCGCTTTCGTGAGATGTTGTACTTTTTAGACTCACAGCGAAGCTTTACATCACCTGATCTTTTGATATAATGATTTTTTTCTTCCCTCTTTACCCACAGATAAGCTTGGGCCTGCTGGAAGATGGCTTCGACACCGTCTTCTCAGCTCAATTCTCATTGGAACACCTCCTCTTGTAGCGCTTCAGGTAATATGTTCAAGCCTATGGGCTTTTTCGCCGTTGACTCTTCAGCGCGCATCCGGCTTTTCACTTTCCTGACCCAGCCAGATGTTTCAGGCGTATCTCTTTCAATTGCTTGAGCCTGGTAGGCTTTCCTCTAACTTAATGTGTGTGTTTCGCTATCGATGAGATTTCTCTTTCCGCGTGGCGAGTATGTGCGCACAAGCTAGCTTGGTTTGATTTTATTTTTAATTGCCCTTCGATTTCGCAATCGCGATAAAATCAAATAAATTTTTATATCCCCAGTTGGTGATAAAGCTATTAGTGACGAAGAGGTGATGACAAGAAGGGCAAAGTACACATTCTTTGCTCAGTTTGTGTTTTCGAGCTGGTCAGAATATTATTTTACCTTAAAGGGACTTGAGCCACGCTCAAACCATTTCATCGTCGATCTTTCGCGAGCAATTAATTTCAAGGAATTGATATGGTCGCCCGCGCAATAGGAGATCATAATTGGTAGACTCAAAAAACCTCTCATTATTATGCAAAGAAATCTCAACGTTGAAAACTTCATTCTCTTTGCTATTCGGTAGTTAGTTCTGATTTAAACTCCAAAATGCCCGTCCATCGCAAATCCTGTAGATGGAATGTTTTTGAGAAAGAGCTGTTTTCATTAGTGCGGCTAATCTCTTAGACCGTTTCAAACTTTGTCTAATATTAAGCTTGTGAAAAAAAAAATATATTGATTTACCAGCAAGCGTGTCAAGTCCATCCTTTGTATAATTATATAGTATTTGCCTTTCATACAGCTGAGCTTTTGTGTTTTTGCCTTTCTTTTTCTCTTTGTTATTAAAACAAGCGAGGGTCTGTCAATCTTTTTAGATGCAGTTAAGGTGATTTGTTTGCTACAAACTTGTTCTTGCCCTCATACTATTTGTCTTTCAAATTTTATGAGTTTCAGATGCAGGAGTGTTTTTGAGTACTAGGAGCATCTTACTGAATGAATTTGGAGTCAGATATTTAGACATACTAGATGGAAATATCAACGTAGACCAGTTTGCTTACAAATACTTTTAATTGCATCCATAGTGGATTTCATATGGCAGTGAAGTTATCCAGTTAATTTCTACATTCTACATTCACCCTATCAAAGGTCTAACATGCGAAATTTGAGCTGTAGAAACTCTTTACATCAGCTAATTTACATTATCAACTCAGTTGATAAAACCAAATTGTCTTATATGAGGTCAAGGGTTTAAGCATAAAACATGAACAGGCCAAATTTAACATGTGATGCACAAATTTTACAGAAAGGTGAATGTGATTTGTGAATTTGTGAACCAGCTTGAGGTACGATTTACCTCCTAACATATAGCTGACTTGTGAATTTTTTCTTTCATTTCATTGAAACCTTATACACAAGAAGAAAGATGTGAAGTTTTTCCTTTTTGTATAAGACTGACCAGTGAATTCTTCTCAAAATTTGTGCGTGAAATGGGATGAGGACCCCTCTCTGCTATCCTCTCCTAATACCCTCATTGACAGAGCACCATAGTTTCTTTAAAAACTGACTCCCTTTATCGGACTTCCACACTGGACTGACATGTAAGTTCTCCTTATGATGTCTGCGCATTTCCTATTAAAACCCTTAAACTCCCAAGATCTTATTATTAACCCTCCCCAAGAACTACTACACATATCCTTGTTCATTAAGGACAAGAATTTGGTGTTAGATCAAGATAATGACTGCTACCTGATGAATTTGAGTATTCTCATTACCTGTTTGCTGAATAATGAATTGATATCATAGGGGGAAGTTACATTTTAATCACTTCTGGGAGTTTAATGGAAAAGGGATGAGAATAGACACGTTTATCAGCTTGAGGGCACTGCATTGACGTAGAGCCAAATTCTCGCAACTAGCTCGGAAGAAAATGTTGTGTGGGTAAAAAGGAAAACTATGAATTAGTGACTTAGAGTTGAATGAGAGTATAGAATTTGAAATCTGGAGGTCCCTAGTGTAAGGTCTTTCCTCTGCCACCAACTGTATTCCTTTTTTCAGTGGTACCGAGTGTTGATTTAAGTATAAATAGGAAACAGCAAACTGTGAGGGAATCTTGACTAATTATCAAAGCAAACAAAATGATCTAGTGAGCTTTACAGACTAAACAATCACAATTGTTATACCTTCCACCTCAATTAAGTTTTCTGATTGGGTGAGAATGCTACAGGTCAAAACTACCACTGTAACACCATAGGGAAACAAAACTAAGTAACTTCTTAAGGTGAACAAAACTCACTAACTCATCGACTTCCTAGGGAACAATAACTTAAACTTTTGACCTGCTTGAGGTCACTTTAGTATCCATGATGTGTATGCAATACAGCCAAAGTTAATTTTGGGAGGTAGAAAAACATTAAATAAAGACCAAGTTGTGTTTTGGTTGATGAGAGGTAAATCAGTATGTGTTGAGAACCTATTTAATACAATCAGTTTGTGCACCTTGAAACCCTGACAAATTTGTATGCCAGTCTGTATCCAAACAATGATTTTCAGATACCATTTCCAGGCAAAATCTTTTTTTCTTTTTGCCCTATGTGAAACAGGTGTTTGTTTCCCAAAGCCTTTAAGGGGAGCTAAGGGGAACATTTAGGAAACAGACCTCACTGTTTCCGCTGGGACCAGTCATTAACCGCTTATTGACCAACACTGCTTAAGTATGGAGGTCAAAACCATCAGGGTCAGATTAACTAATCTGTTTTCACAAACAAGGCTTGTAATGTTTGACTGATGAACAACTCCTTAAATGGTTCTCATGATGACTTGTGCCACCAATTCCTACTACTGGTGACAGTTCTTCTAAATGATAAAAGGCTGATAGTTTCGAAAGAAACTGTTTGGGGCCAAGGCGGTGGGAGTAACGAAATAACTTGGATATATCAACAAAGTTGAAGTGGTAAATTGGCCACCGTAATGATTACAAAAGCTGACGTTTCGAGCGTTAGCCCTTCGTCGGAGCGAAATATATATATTCTATATATAAGCCTTCTAAATGACAGTCAGAGAATACTATGAATTAAGTTATTGTTTTCTTATGAACACAACTTAAATTTCCTTGTCTTTTTACAGAGAAGACGTACACCCTTATGGACAAAGTTCATGCACTTGAACAGTTTCTTTGGTACTGAGGACTTTTATATTCCTATGGGGGTTTTTATTCTTTGGTAGGTAATATGTAAGCTTTCTATACACATGCTTCATAGGTTAAGGAATCATGTCTTTTTTTCATTTGATCAGAAATACATTTGAACCTCTATTAAACAGCACTGTATTAAGTGGTCACCCTGTATTAAGTAGTCAGTCATCAAAGTCCCAAATTTATTGCTCCTTAAGCCCCTTCTACACGAGCAATTTTTATATGGCAATTTTTATTTGCCCGTATAGATGATGAAAAATGACCAATATTTTTATGTGACAACTACATTTGCTGAAAACCTGGCGTGTTAGTTTTTATGTGGCAAATAAAAATTGCCACAAAAAAATTGTCCGTGTAGATGAGACGCCACAATGTGACAAACACGCCTAAAGCTGCAACACGTCTGGCACGTCTTCTGACTTTTACCATCTTGCTTTTTTCCTTTCCATGAGCATCTCCGCTATGCAAAATTATTACTGACACAAATTAACAACAAATATTTGTCAAGTCATCTACACAGGCAAATAAAAATTGCCACATACAGTTGCCACATAAAAAATAATTGCTCTTATAGACAGGGCTTTAATCCTTGTAATTTTCAGTTCTTTCAAGTGGTCACCTCTATTAAATGGTTCTGGTCACCTTTAAGTGAGTCCCAATGGCCTTTTTTTATTATATTCCTCCTGTATTGAACTACTCAAATAAAACTAAATATAATCTTTTTAAGTAAAATTTAATCCATATTTTTCTCTTGAAATCAATCTTAGTAGACTAAGTATTTTTTAGCTAGTTCTGTTAAAAGTGGTCAGTTATGGCATAAAATGGGGTTTTTATCATTTTTTAGATTACCCCTATTACGTATGATGCACGATCCTTCGCAGTAGATAGCACTATTTATGCAATAGCGAAAATCAGACCTGAAAAAAATCAGGCCTGTACGGGATTGGAGCCACTGACCTCTGCAATACTAGTGCAGCGCTCTACCATTTGAGCTAACAAGCCAACTGGGAGCAGGCTGTTAAGTTGATTCGTAATAAACCCGTGATGATAAATCAGATACAATGAATAATACCGCAGTTCAAAATATATGAACTTCATATATTCATTGTATCTGATTACCCCTATTATCGGTCACCCTGCCATTTCCTGTGGGTGATCACTTAATACAAGTTTGACTGTTCTTCTATCGATCATGATTTGTTGCAACTAGTTAACATGGGGGGAGGGGGTCAGGATAAATTAGATGTTAGTCACTCTTAGGGGTCAGGGAGTTGAGGAACATGGGGGGAGGGGGTCAGGAGTGATTTGTTGCAACTAGTTAAACCTGGAAAAGCCAGGGAAACATAGATAAACTGTGAAGACTTTGGAAGGGGTCTTGAGTTTTTTTTTCATGTTTGAGAAGTGCTTGATCATTGTTCATTATGTAGTCAAAATTCTTGGATGTTGCAAATGTTTTCAACCTTAAGGCAAGAATGTATGTTTTAAAACTGACTATTCTTTTATGCAGGATTGTTGATGCTAAACTTGGGAGGTTGTTGTGCCTACTGATGGGTTTAGGTTTCTACAGTGCTGGATTCATCAAGGTAACAAAATGAAGGTTTGATTTAGGGGTGAACAATTTATTTTAAGGTTGGCCATTAGACTTTTCACTTTATTGTCATATTTAGGACAATTGCTGAGGCATCAAGAGTATTTTCAGCACATGAAAAAGAAATGGAGGTTTTTCTGAAATTAAATCAAGAGCACGGTGCTTGTATAATGCAGTCTCCCAGAATGCAGTGAAAAGAAAATCTTAGGGTAGTTGTTGAATGTCTGATTTAATTTTACAGGATTGTCTGTGCCTACCTCGGCCAGCAAACCCACCAATTGTTCCTTTAGAAGGTGCTTCACAAACTTGGTAAGGAAAACATATAAAAAAAGAGTTTTTCAGTTGGCTTTTCAGTTGTTTATTGGTATTACAAGTGGAATTTCTATTCATAGAAACATTTTTATACTTAGTTCATTTTTCTAATAACTAGTTCTTGCCTGAACTTAGTCAGGGCTAATCTCACCTTATTCTCTGTGTCTCAGTGTTAGAGCACTGGAGCATGGAGTTCAAAGGTCTTGAAGTTTGATTCCTTGTGCTGAGTCAGTTTTTTTTACTCTTTGTTCCACACTTGAGACAAAATGAAATAGTGTGTTTCTTTCTTTTCTTTGCTAGTTGGACTGTGGGCAATAGTAGTTTTCTTGTAAGCTTCCCAACTTGATATTTTACACCGTTCAGTTTTCCATCTCTTCATGTCTCTTCCGTTTATGAAAAGCTGTAACAGTTGTGCTCCACAATACTTTGTGTAATCGAGTGTAATTGCTACATTTGTCACACCAACAATGTGCATATGTTGGTTGGTAACCCCAGACGAACAAGTGTTCTGATAAATATTGTGTTAAACTTTTATTCATAGTTTTACATTTTGACTTTGTTTTTCAGGGGCCTTCCAAGTCACCATGCGGTTTTAGGTGTACTAGTTCCTTGGTAATTCATTTTCTTGTCTAAATAGACTCTTAAATACATGATTGGGTAAATAAATGTGATCCTGTTGGGTTTTTTCATTATTAATAATTGTCACAAGCCCATAATTTAGAGGTTTAGGATGAGCGAGAACCTCGTATGGGGGTGAGAGAGAAATCCATTACCTTTGTTTTGAACTAGATTGAAAAATGGCAGTATTTTATTTTTAGGTATATTTGGTTTTACTCCTATATCCACTTTTCTATGCCTCAGTGGGGATTTGCTGTCCTTTTTGGATTCATTGTGTATTGTAAGTGCTTCAAAGTTCATACTTTGTGTTGAAACTTTAAATTAACCTCTCAAGCCCCAAGAGTGACCAGGATCTAATTTCTCCTCACGTTAATACAGCTGAATTGCTCATTCAGGTCAGTGTAAATAGAGTAAATGGTCGCTAACCTTATAAGCTTTGATTGTTGAACAAATTCTTTTAGTCATTACCAAAGGAAATGTAAGAGAGGATTATGGAGATTATGAGTACTGATGTTATTGAGTAAAAGGTTAAGAATGCATCCAGAGCCCAAAGAAAAGTCTAAAAATACCATTTATTGAGGATTTATTTTCTCCCAAACATCCACATGTTTACGTATGATGCACGATCCTTCGCTGTAGATAGCGCGATTTATGCAATAGCGAAAATCAGACCTGAAAAAAAATCAGGCCTGTACCACATGTTTCTTGGTAGATGCTCTAGAGCTGACTTTATGTTCATTGCATTGTGTGTTTTAGGGTCAGTGTCTGTTATGTTTAGTCGGCTTTACCTTGGTGTCCACAGTCCAGCAGATATTGTTGCTGGAGGAATTATTGGTTGTGTCATACTGGCTTATTGGATAAAAATAGACACAATTGTGGACAGATATATCAGCTTTGGGGATAATGGTATGTATTTTAAACAACAAACATATGAAATACATATATATGAACTGCGGTTATGAAACGTATATGTGCACGATCCTTCGCAGTAAAGCACTATTTAAGCAATAGTGAAAATCAGACCTGAAAAAAATTCAGGCCTGTACGGGGGGCAAATGGTAACTAAGTTCTCTTCACAATTTCAATAGTGTCAATCATATTTATAGGCAGAGTGAAATTTATTCTGAACTTGTGCCAGCTGGCCCATCTTGAGCTTGACTTGGTTTCTTTGTCTTGAAACAACTAGGGATTTTGTCCGCTCCCCCCTCCCCCACCCTCCCCTGGATAGAATGATAGTCCATGGCAGGCTACCCTTAAGCATTTCATTAGGTTCCCCTGAAAGTTTGTTGGTACAGTCAAACCTTGATTATCTGGATCTGGATTTTCCGGATTTTTCCTCTGGTCCCATTTTTCATGAATATTAATGAGCTTTGATCTTCAAAACTTAAAAGAGGAAAAATTTCAGAGATTAAGTTTAAAGTCAGGAAAGTGCACTCAAAGCAGCACATTACCTCCTCTGCTTTCAAAAGATCGAGCTCTCAGAGAGTCATTGAAGCAGACTTTTAGAATGAAAAATGTGTTGTCTTTATTTCTTTTGTTTACATTACTGTCTTATTAATATTTAGCTTTTTGATTATCCGGACTCTTGATTATCCAGACTGTTTACCAAAGTCCCAATGAGTCCAAATAATTGAGGTTTGACTGTACCCATACTTCAGGGTAGAGAAACACTGTAAAAGGAGAGTTGCTTACACAAGAAGGCATCACAGCGGCCCTGCCTCGCAGAGTCCAGCACACAAATTGTAAGGCTAGTGTGTCTCCTCAGAGAGTGAAACAGTAGCCTAGAATTGTTTGAGTTTGTGGATGGTCTTTAAAAATATAACAGTTTGGATATTGAGCTGTTTATCAAAGCTATCTAGTTATCTTTTGCTCTTTGTGCACCCAGCTTAAGTAGAAATTAAGATGGTTTAAAGCTGTAATGACATTTATTCCTTTTTATTTAGTTGTCCTTCAAGCCATTGTTTACTCCTTGTTGCTGTTGTTTCTTCATCCTCGTCCTGAGCCCCGTACGCAGTCTCTGGTTGAAACGGTAAATTCTGGTGTCAAAATTTACACCCAGTGTAACCATTGTAAGTATAATTACTCGGGTGATTATAGAAATTCTCACGCTCTTATTGGCTGAGAATGGCATCATATTCCGCTATAATCACCTCCAGTGAGGTGATTATAGTGGGAGGACAAATTTTCAAAATGGCCACCTCGCGCTTTGTCGATGTGTCTAAAGAGGAAATTAATTTAATGAAAGAAAATGCCATTCTGAGGAATACCAAACATGCCACAAAGTTTGGAATGACACTCTTCGAAGGTAAGGTGTGAAAATTGTGCTAAACATAACGAAGAAACCATTTAAATTTCCGTGAAAATTTTGCTCTTGTCGACATGCATGAATAAGTCAAAACAACTACATTAAATTTTCGCAACACTTTATTTACTTAACAGAATGGTTTCAACAACAAACCAAATTTACCACTGACTTTGAGGCAATGGAGGTCAACGAGATGAATAAATGTTTGTCAAAATTTTACGTCTCAGTCAGGAGGAAAGACGGGACTTTTTACAAGAGAAATAGTCTGTTGTCCATGCGAGCGGCTCTCGCTCAGTTGTTCACTGACGTGTGACAATGACAAATAAAATTTAACATTCCTTTGCTCATTTCTATAATCACCTGTGAGTAATTATACTAAAACAATTATTCACCAATATTCACGAGCCTGAGGGAAATAATTATTAATTATTAACAATAATAATTGTGCTCAGCTAGCAAAGCTTGTAAAGAAGTGCATTTTTTTTTTTTATGAATTGTGAGTTTCTAGTTTTGGAAGAGTTTTTATTTTAGAATCTCTTTAATTGTTGTTGTCCTGCTCGCACCTGCCTATTGCATCCTATTTGGTTTGAAACAATTTTTTTTAAATTTCCAACATGAGTTTGGCACTTGGTCATGATGCACAGACCTTACTGCACTCCATCCATATTTCATGACCTCAAGTCAAATATTTTCCTTTCTCATCCTCCCACTCAGTCACTTGGTAGGTAGTGTAGTGTTATGGAGCAATTTTATTGAAATTACTTTTCATGTTTTATAGAATATGGTCACATTATCTATTAAATTGTCAAGCTAGTATAAACTGTCTTCTTTACTAGATCCTTAAGTGATATGAAAAGTATTAATAGACCTTTCAGAGAAAGAAGTGTTTCAAACACTCTAAGACTGAAATACTTTTTTTTGTCTTTTAGACTGCAATGACTGCTGTGTCAGTTGGTTTTGTAATTGGCAAGGCCACATCCACAAGACACCCATCCATTTACAAAGCAATCCTGGACTTTGATATTGGTGTGTTTTACTTTGTGCTTACAATAAAGCTGGTTGTCCATCTCAAAGTCAATCTTATAAACTTGCAATGTTGCACATAACAACATCATGCCTATATTCTCAGTGTTTTTTTATTTGTTTAGATGATGTGTCCAATTTCACCCTGATCTGGGTTTCCACTGTACGATTATTGCTTGGTAAGTGGACCCGTAGACTTAAGTTAACAATCTGCAAGTAAACTGGTTGCACATTGTGCTATATTCTGTGATAGCATGACAATTATTTTAACCCAAGTTCTCTAACTTCAAATGGCTCCATGTCGCTGACCAGTGTTACACTTTATAAACTGAGTAGATACTGAATTTACCTATGTATAATACGCACTTTATTTCCATAAATATAACCATCAAAATTGCTGTCTGTGTTATACACGGACTCCGTTGTTTGCTGGGCACATCCTAATTTGCACGTGTTAAAAAACAACAAAGAAAGTAACAAAAGCCTTGATTAAATTACTTACTTTCAATGAAAAAATTACAGGCGCACACTAAGATCTACTCTAAAGTCTTATAAATCACATATCTTTTGGTCATGATTGATAAGTTTTCCTTGTGTTCTTGCCAACATCCCGCATGGTTTTATTACATTATAGAGCCCAAAAATATATGTCCTATTGCTTGAGTACAAAAACCAAGCTAAGCAGGTTTCAGCTATAGAATACCATGAAAAGGCTTTGGAAATCCAAGTACAAATAAGTGGTCAGATTGTTTACTTAAACCAGGTCAGGTGTCTTTCCCAAGCCAGGTGTATTCCTGTGTAAGTGCCACAATTTCCAACTTTGTCATAAGTGTTAAAATTTTACATGATATGTGTTCTGTGTATTGGTGATTTTTTTTAACTCCCAACTTGCGATATTATCTGGTGCACTTTTCTCCCTCCACCATTGTCCAGAATGTAGATGAGATTCTTTTTTAAATTTGTAGTAACAACTACTGTATATCCTGTTCTTCATAGGATACATCCTCGTGATACTTACGAGGCTGCTCTGTAAGATTGTGTTCAAAAGCTTGCTGAACAACCTTTTCCGAGTATTGGACTTGGAATGCTTTGAGATAACAAAGGTTAAGTACGACTCAAGTGAAAGGATGTATGGCCCTTCATTCAAACTGCCTCCTGTTTTTTATAAGGTCAGATTTAAAGTTATTTATAGTAATCTAGTAGTGTCCATGTTCACTGTAGAGTTTTAGTTGGTGAAGCATCAGAGTTGAAAGGTCTAATGTTTGATTCCTCTTGGAACTCAGATTTTTTTTTTTCTTTGTGTTGTGCTGGTGACAAGACAAAAAAAAAACAAAATTGTTGAAGACTTGTAGTCTTATTGACTCAACAACAACTCTTCACTTGACTCTGATGATGACTTTCACTCAGGTTGTTGTAATGTTTATCATTAGTACCCAGACTACCCACAACCGTCCCTTCTCGGCAATACCCTCCCCAGACAATCAGACTACCTGATCACATCGTACCCCTGGGTTCAAATCATTTACCATAATATTCTTATCAGGTTAGAAGTTAACAACAGTTTATTTGATTTGTAACAACGGTAAGTTCTTTTTAGTTGTAAATTTGCTTTCTGGCAACCAAAATGCTCACAGGTAGTTTGGGAACCAGAGAATGATTTTCATTGTTGGTTTTCTGCATTTTTCAGGGAGGAAAGAAAAGAAGCCAAAAATCCCAGCCTGATACAGAGGATGGTAGCCAAAAGTATAACTTGATCTTTGTTATTAACTATGTCTCATATGTATGTGTAGGATGGGTGGGGATAAGTGGTGTACCACTACTTTGTCACAGTATTGGACTGGTTTTGTAGACCAGTGTGTGGCCAACATTGGTACCTTGCATTATTAGGCTACTAAATTTACACTAGACCAGTACTGGAATAGTATTGCCAGTTTGCATTCTTTCATAGCTAATCAACTAATACACTTAGGAGATTGTGTTGGATATTGTAGAAATGAATCCAAAAGGTCAGATATTGCTTTACACAGTTAGTCTAGGATAGACTGGTCAGTTGGAACCAATGGAATGTCTGTTGCATGTAGTAACTATCTCAGACGTAATTATATGAAGAAATTGAGCATTTTGTTAAGTAGAGCCACTGTTACACTAAATGAAATAAGTGGCATATTTCGTACAGTATTTTTTTATTATGGTATTGTTTTGTTGGAGGAAGTTTACCTGTAAATTCTCTTAATGATTAATATAAAACTTATCCCAATAATATTCTTAAATTATCCAATAACCAGGTAATAAGAATGCTTAAACTTATCAGGTGAAAATAGAGGATATTACATGGCCGCGCGGGGATACGAATTTTATCTTCGAG